TAAAGGGTCTAGGCCTGAAACGTCAGCCTTCTTGCTCCTCTGATGCTGCTTGGCCTGCTGTGTTCATCCAGCTCTACACCTTGTTATCCCACTTCATTGGCACCCTGTTCTTCCCAACTTGTCAGGATGACGAAGGGTTTTGGCCCGAAACGTTGACTTTGCTGCTCCTTTGATGCTTATAATTAGTTCTACTTTATTATGGTATCTGCCTTCGTCAGTTGGGCAAACGGGCTTGAGACATGGCTTAGAGTCAGCACCAGTGCTGCTTTTTGGACAGCCAACACTTCCTGTGGTATGTTCAACATCTCAATTCCCCATGGCAGCACTTTTATGACAAGAAACATACCATATGACAAGTGCAAATACAAACTCACATTGGGATCTTGCATTTGGAGAAGGTAGTTTCCAAATGAAGAAAAATGTACATTTTTTGAACAATTCAGCTTGCAATTTGAGCAAGCTGCAACAAAAATGCCACAGGTGTATGGAGTGTGAAAATTAAAAGGCCATTTGACTATAGTTCTATTTGATGCCTATCCATATCAGTTGTCATGTTCAGCATATGTTACCATCAATCTGAAGAATATAATTCTTGAGCCTTTTAATTTCATACTCATAAGGCAGTATGTATATTCCATTAGTGGTAGAATTAATCATTCTAGTTTTACGTTCTTTGAAAAAGGCAGACTGCAGTATCTTTTTGGACCGTACCGCTTATTTCTAGCAAGTATTTTTATTCTTCATAATTGAGTGCTTTTACTTTGCTGGCTTTAAAAACGAGTCAAAATTTGAGTCTAAATGCATTTGAAGGTATGAACAGAGAATATGGGCAGAATGTACCTATGTTATTCCTAAGTGTACAACGCATGACCATATGTGAGATAATTCACCCAATTGCTTGCCAATCAGTTCATTAAGACCTGACAAGTGAATGAAGGTAAATATCTTATCATAGCCCTTGATACTGATGACATTTGTCGCCAGAAATTGCCAGCCAATCAGAGGCTGAAACCCTCTAAATCCCAAAGTCTGCCACCCTCTAAATCCCAAAGTCTGCCAGTCGAGGCCTAGTCCTCAGGCCATTCAGCAGCAAGAAGGTAAGTGTTTTATTTCCTTCTTCGTGCAAGGTGAAGATTGCACAATTGAGCAGTATTGGACGCAAGGATAGGAGCTTTGCTTTCAGATACCACCCTGTTTCCTGCCACTTGTATCTCCAATTGGCCATAAATTGGGGCAGTTAGAGGCCCCCATCAACACAGGCTGGAGGGTCATCATGTTTCCCAGAGAAACTGGATACCTTTCTCATCTGCCAAGCAGGCAGGTGATCTATGAGATGGTGAATTGTGATCCCCAAGCGGTCATTAATTAATCTCAGTTGCTCGCAAGTGAAGGAATTCATCAATGGACCTTATTGCCCAAACTTAAATGCAGATCGTGCGAAGGGGGTGAATTCATCTCCAGTGCTAATTCATGTAATTATTTTCCCTTCTCCCCACCTCCAAGAAAAGGAAAATCATCCTCTATGTAATTCCTTTGTGTTATCTATGATCAGGAACACCGAACAGGAATTAAAATGTGAGCATGAGCCAATAACAACTTGTATTTTACAGCATCTTCTTTGACAAAAGGAAATCCCAAGGCAGTTCACAGGAGCATAAAAGATAAAACAATACTGAGCCACACTGATGTATTAGGGCAGATGACTTGAAGGTTTCAAGTTCAAAGAGGTAGACTTTAAGTAGTATCTTAAAGCAGGAAAGCAGACTAGAGAAGTAGAAAGGAATTTCAGATATTAGGATTCAATAGGCTGAGGACATGGCCATCAATTATAGAGCAATTAAAATTGGGGATCATTAAGAAGCTAGAAGTTGAAGAGCACAGATGTCTCAGAAGGTTGTTTAGCTGTAAGAGATGACAGAGATATGAAGGGATGAGATAAAACCAAACACTACTGGAGTAAGTCAGCAGGTCTGGCAGCATCTCTGCAAGGGAATGTTTTGAGTCTGATATCACGTCTTCACGGTGATGTGCAAGACAGAGGGAAGTATCTCAGCAACTGTCATGTGACTGTGATGGTTGAACAGATGCTAGTGTGTGCATGTTGTAGGATGTGGGCATGAGTGTTACAGCTATGCTAAGTGTGTGATGGTGTGCTAGAGCTTATGACTGCTGAGTATATGTCCTGGTTGACAGAAAATATCAATAAGTGAATGATGGGATGTGGTAAATTAAGCAGTGACTGAAGTTTCACAATCTAGTTGATAGGATATGGCATTTGAAGATGCCTTTACTGATCTTGACCACTCAAGTAAAATTATTGGATATTTTGGAGCACCAAGTAAATATCCACAAAGCTTCTTTCCTAGAATTAACCTCCACAGACTTATATGCCCCTGCCTTCTGAACAAGTATCTGGAGCACCTCCTGATCCCTGCAAATAAAGGTCATCTTTCCTACTTCTCATCCGTTCCACCAAGACCTCTGGTTCTGCATCCAAAAGGTTTAGTGTGCACCCTGTCCTATATTGTAGCTTTATTCAATGTTTTCCTGACCAGATTTTCTTATTTTAATTTTCTAGTCAACCTGTTCAGAGATGTCCGGTGACAAAGAAGCAGGGCTCCGAAAGCTTCTGATTTCAAATAAATCTGTTGGACTATAACCTGGTGTTGTGTGACTTCTGATTTTGTCCACTCCAGTCCAACACTGGCACCTCCATGCCATTTTCTGAACCTGTTGAATTTAGCCCCCAAGGCCAACAATTGCTTTCACAAAGTGGTGGATTACTTGCAAAGTAGAAATAGATGGTAAACAAAGAGTGACATCCAAACATATATGTTGAAGAGAAGCTTTTGAAATAGAAAGAAATGCAGCAAAATGGTGGGGAAGGGATTTCAGAAGAAAATTCTAGTACGGTGGCGTGGAGGTTCTGATGGACATTGTTCAATAACATACTTTCAATTGCCTTTCAGTTGCTTTGGCTGCATACAGATGGTTAGTTTGCCACTTGTTGCGTGAGAGCTGCATGAAGCTGGATAATGAGAAAAATTCGGGCAAATCAGACTTTGAATGCAGAAACAACAGTCAGGTAAGTGGTTTTGGCATGAAAATCAGAAGTGGCTATATCTTTGCTGTCAAATTATTTAATAACCATTTAGCAATTATATGATCAAATCAAAGGAAATTTTAGTACAAATGGGCTTGTGTTATGGGAAAAGGAAGTCACAAATGGTACCCATAGTTTCTCATTAGGGAGGAAACAGATGTTATTGTGCAGACTCGTTGAAGAGGGAATAACAAAACATATGTAGATCATGTGAACACAATTGCATTAAATGAGGAAAGCATGATGACACATAATAATATAGTCATTGGTGCTTGTTTAGGTGTGCTTGATTTAGTCTTACTAAGTATAGCATGAACAATCAAAAAGACTTATTTTTCATCACTTGGAGCAGTTCCAGGTATGTTTTTATAACTGGTACACATATCTCAAACATTTTGTGTAAGCAGTTGTTTTATTATCTCAGTGACTTACTTTATCAAAATACAGATGACTCGTGTCTTGGTGGTAAAGAATGTGTGACAATTTCTTATATCTCTTTTACCCAAATGTGTAGATATTATATAATATACCATATAAACTCACCACTGACAAACTAAGTGCTACAAAAATCTAACAAGTCAACCAATATTTCTGGACAGTAATTTTTGTTTAATTTCAGATAGTTTCTTTGTTAGAAATGGAAGATATTGTAAAGGAACAAACAGCATTTATAAAGTAGTAGAATAAGGGTAGGAGCAAACTCATGCATTCACCCTTCTAACTCACTCACTTTCCACTTTGCCCACCCACAGACTCTCTAACCCTTCCTTTGTATCCACTCACTCAAACACTTGATCTCGAACCCATGGAACTAACTCAACCATTCAACTCACCCAGCCATTCACTCTTTCACATTTTTAATATGCCTACTCTCTCATGCACTCATATTGCAATTCATACAACCATTCAGTTAATCAACCTTCCACCTCATTCACTGTCACACACAACATGGAAAATAAATAATATGTCCTGTAAAGTGCTTAAATGGGAAAGAGGAGCTATTACTGTTAGATAACAGGAGGCATAATGAGCAAACTCCAAGGCACTTACAGGATACTGAGAATTTGTGAATGGCTGAAGAAGTGCACCAACATGTAAGACCAATAGAAATAGAAGTACGATAAGCTTGAAAAATGAAGCAGGCTCCTTAATGGTTGAGGAAAAAGTAGAAAAAGCATGTTAGTATCAAGCAAGCAGCATTTTATTTATTATTCATTCACAGGATGTTTGCATCACTGGTTATCTACAACAGTGTACTAGCATAGATTCCATGCTGCAAACATCAATCTGACCCATTTATAACCAGCACCACCCACTCCCCGGTCTACTTTTATTTTGCTGAAAGAATCCTCAGCTTTCATACGCAGGATTTTCCACAGGCTAATGTGGAAAAATACCTTCTCAGATTGCAATATCCCACATAATTAAAAATATAGTAACAGTAAATTAATGGACAATGGCTCAGATTTTGCAGTACAAGCAATATTGAGATTATCAAGTCTTCACACATGCACCCTCATCCCTTGCCCCAGGCAGGAAAGTCAGCACCAGCCAAGTGACTGATGGTAAATCTGCTCCACAGCTGTAACAGCATGGACAGACTAAAGTACCGCAGTATGGGTCTTCTGCCCCTCAGTGGAACTCTGGTAAATTTGATTTGGTGACAACATAAATGGTCTTGGCAGCACCCAGAGCTCAATCATGAGCACTGCCAAAACTGTAGCCAGTTCTTTTGCTTCTGGAGATTTTTAGAAAGAAAATAGATTGTTTTTTGACCTTGTCTATTTTTTGTATCTCTCTCAATCCCTCTTCATTCCCCTGTCTTTCTGTTGCTTTCTGTACACAATTTTACATTGAATTAAACATTCAGACTAGCAGTAGTTGTCAAGTCTCCGGAGGAAAGATTTTGGTTATCCTAATGTTGAGGCATGTGCGTTATGATTTGCAACTGTCCATTAATACAGCAGCTTCCTTACTTCACAATGATTTCAAAATGCAGCCCATCAATGAATGTGCTGCTGACTGGAGGGCCCAGGAGCATGCATGGCTAAGATTAGCTTCAACTAGCCTGCATGTTTCAAAGGCAGCCTGCCCAATCCCACCTCACACCCAAAGGCCAGCTGCACTTGATACACAGAATCTGTAGCTGATTGTGGTGGGATTGTCTGCACAGAGTGCAATTTCAATGAATGGATGGGAATCAGAAAGCTTCCTGATCAGAACTAGGGTCAAGCAAAGCTGCCGACTCTCTCCTGCCTTGTTTGTGTGTTGTAGAGAGCCTTTTGCTGAGTCCATCAGGAAGGAAGCAAGCCTGAGAAAGGTAACTATTCTGGGCAGTGGAGGCCTGCACTTCAAAGCCTCCCTGTACATGGATGATGTTGCTGCTTTCTGCTCAGATCTGCTGTCAGTACGCTAACTCATAAGCATCTGCGGTCAGTTCGAACTAGCCTCAGGAGCTAAGGTAAATTGAGGCAAGAGTGAGGCCAGGTTCTTTGAGAACTGGGCCAACTGATCCTTCATCCCTTCACTGTCAGGACAGATTACCTGAAGGTGCTGGGAATATTGTTCGGAGAGGCCAGGGCGTGCGCAAAATCTTAATAGGAGCACATCGCTAAGGTGAGGCAGAAACTGGGCTTTTGGTAGAGCCACTCCCTCGCTATTGCGGGTAAAACCTGGTCATCAGGTGTGAGGCATTGTCTCTGTTGTAATTGGCACAGGTTTGGCTCACTACCAGAACCTGCGCCATCACAGTCACTCAAGCCATCTTCTCCTTCATCTGGAGATATATGATGGACTGTGTTCACAGAGACACCATGTACAAAGCTGTGGATAAAGGGAGGAAAAATGTACCCAATGCCACCTCATCCCAATGGCAACCTTTGTTTGTGGCTGCGTCAAGCTGGGTGTAGACCCTGGGTATGCAAACACTTAAGTCTCATTATTTACTGAGGTTCTACATTTGCTGGTCGTAGCTGCGGAAAGCTCCAAGTAGTTGGACCATTCCATAACAAGTATCCTTTGTGGAGAAATTTGCAAAGAAAAACACCTTTGACTACAGGCCCATCAGGAAGTGGTCAGCACATAGTGTCCTCAAGACTGTGCGGGAAAAGGAAAGGGTGGATTGTTCCCTGGGCAGACTGTCAAAGTCATTTGGCAGAATGCCTCATCACCAGAACTTTCAAAAAGCACCAAAACATCGCTTGGCTGTTGGTGAAAAGAGCACTACCAATGAGATCCTTCATGTGCTCCTGTACTCTGCACTACCGCATGCTGCCCTCTAAGTGGCTTAGGGTTGGGGTAGGGTAGGGACTGTCACATATCTCCTGATGGAATGCACCTTTGCAAAGGAGGTTTGGAGAGAGACATATGGCTATTGTCAAGGTTCATCCTGAGTAGCTCCGTGACACAGGACTCTGTGCTCTTCAGTCTGTTCCCTGGGACACACACCGAGATAAACACTGACTATGCCTGGAGGGCCATCAACTCAATGACAGATGCTTTTTGGTCTGCCCAAAATTTGTTGGTCTTCCAGAACAAGGAGTTGACATTGGCCAAGTTTTGCAGACTGGCACATTTCATGGTCCAGAACTATGTGCTGAGGGAAGCACTATAATTGGAGGCAGCTGCCACTAAGACGCGGCGGAGAAGGACCACCGTCTAAGGTTTTCCTGCTGAAGTACAGCAGGGATTCATTCAGTTATCAGTCCTTCCTTGTGCCTCAAACGCATGTAACTGTCTTCTTGTATTAGTAAGAAATGCCTCTGGTTTGTTTGTTCTACATATTTAAAGGCTGTGTACAGATTCAAACTGTTTTAGGGACTATGTTTGTAATTAAAGATTTTTATGAATAAAATTATTTTTGAAATATAAAAAAAATTACCTGCAAAGATTAGCATCGAAAGTGGAGCACCAGACAAGAAATAGGGATTTTGGGTTTTACAACATGGCACCAGAGGCATTGACATCCTTGGGTGGTGGGGGAAGCCTTTTTTTTTTTAAAGAAAATAATATTGGGAAATGAATGTACTGGTTGTACTGGAGCACTGTTCTGAGATGTACAAAACAAGTCAGACCAGTATGCACCATTCACAAGTTTTAGTATTTCTCCTTCTGGGACTTGAGATGGATAGAAGAGAAACAAAGTATATGCACTGGGTAGGGGAGTCCTCGAGACAAATTCCAAGAAGGGAATTGGAGCAGAAGCCGGGGAAGTTAATTCCAAGAGTCTGAGCCAGAGGATCAGTCAGCAGTCAATCACGTCAAGCTGGTGGTCATGACCAATGAATGTGTCTTCACGAGGTATCACCCACTGACCACACCCATCGACCTCACTGCTGGTCAATGCACTACTCACCCTGCAGCCATCTTGAGCAATCAGGACAATGCTGCTAACCTCACATCTATCTTTCCTTACTTCCATCTTGTTCCAACAATTCAGTCACGGCAGGCACATCACCAAAGCATGACAACAAAATCCTTGACATTCTTCCATCTCCCTTGCAGGACAAGGTGAATCACAGCAGGAGAAAGGGGACGAAAGCAGAACTGAAGGGGAACAGCGCTTATTTCCTCTGGATGAAATTTAGGAATAGGTGAAGAGCTAGGTGAAGGGGAGAGAATGTTGCTCACGATAGCAAATTAATGGAGAACCCAGTAAGTCAAACGTGGGCACACGCTTTGAATGCAGGAGAACTTCCCTTGACAAACTGTCCGGGAAGTGGAACTATTGCTTCATGATGTTCTTTGAGTCTGCATAACTCTTGATACAGGTAGCCATTTGCTGCCATTGTCACCACATGTGGATCCCCTGTGAACCCTCTTGGATGCTAAGTGAGTTCCCAGGTAGTGTGCAATATAGTGACCGTGTGCTACGTGGTTCAATGAGGAATAATAAACACCCCTGTTCCCACCACCCCATAATATAGGGGGCTGTTTGCATGAAGAGGGCATATGGACAGTTAAAATGTTAGCATGAGAGAAGA